TACTATTATATGATACAATAATAAATAATTATTACTCAATTAATATAAAATGTAACAGTTTAATTCTTAACTAACATAGTCAGTTTTTGAAAAGATAGGTGTCACATAAGTATAATTTATGAGGTCAAATTTATGATATGTATGCATGTGTATGGGGTGGATTCTAAGTCAATTGAAGATTTGTTGATGTGGGACACATAATTTAGAGTCACGACTTTGTTTTGTCCTTTGTAATTACCGATTGGTCAATACTTTGAACTTGCATTCTTTGAGGATTCATGTGTAAACACTCGCGTTCATTGTCTATTCTCGTTATTGCACATCGTGATGTATTTATTTGATTATGTATTGATTGTATTCACATTGTTGTGTGGATTGGTTTGCCTTCTCTAATAAAAATGGAATAGAAGGTGAGTTTGCGAGGTAGGTACGAATTAGGCTCTGTTTGTCCTGATTCATGTAGTGGAATGGGATAATGAGTGCGAAAAACCTGTCTGGGAGACTCGAGGAAACCCCTCGATGATACACCTAGATAATAATTGTCTGGAAATCTCGTTTAGAAAAATAAGCTCACGAGACAAAAAGCAATTGAAAAAAATGAGCTCGTGAGAGTTGAAAGGATTAGACTCGCTTGACCCGGTTCTTCTCCTTTTGGATGGATCAGGTCAATGAGTACGGGAAACCGGTCTAGGAGACTCGAGGACGAACCCCGAAGTTAAACCTAGGTAATAATCGTCCTAACAACTCTCATTTGAAAAAATTGACTCATTTAAAAAAAAAAAGAAAAAAGAAAAAGGAAAATGAATAATGAGAAGAAAACTTGATCTTATGCCATTGATTTTATTGATTATGTTTGAGTTTGCTTATAGTCCCTTGGTATTGTTGAAAATATTGTATTGAAGGACCGGGAGTACACATATGATGCATGGGTAGATTTGTAAAAGTTGGCTTGTGACGAGTCGATCATGTGTGGAAGAGCATTAGACGTTTGTTTATTTTTGTATGACTCAAGATTGTGGGGAACATATTTTCAAGTTGAATTTTGACTATAAGGATCCCAGGGCAAAATGAGATTGGCATACTTTAGGACATGATAAATGAATGAACAAATTTATCTTTTCGAAATGTTGGCGAGATTGTTTGCTTGAGGACAAGCAAAGTGTTAAGTGTGGGGAGTTGTTTGTAGTGTTTTTATGGTGTTTTTTGTGCCTTAGTCGAGTCTTTTTAGATTTGTTCTTCCGTTGTTCCGGTCTATTTGTGTTGTAATTCTTATTTCTAGTTTTTAGGGTCGTGTTTCTTTTTTATTTCTTGTCTTTCTTTGCATTTTTCGGTGTTTTGTAGGTTTAATGATAGAAGATCGGTTGTGAGCATCGTCATCATTGAGTGGCATTTTTAGCACCTACACGTTGGCGGCGAATTCAGTTTTGCGGACCGTCGAACTAGCACTCTCGACACCGATGTCGATTCGCGGCCTCTCGGAATAACCAAACAAACATGCCGAACTCGCGACCCCAATGCGATTTTGCAACGTTGCGAATGCTGTCAAGAAGACAAAGCAACTCGCGACCCGGGCTGGATTTTGCGACGTTGCGAGTGTTGCCGAGAAGACAAGGGAACTCGTGACTCGGACTTGATTTCGAGATCTTGCGAGTGCATCTTAGTAAATGTGTATGTTTTAGTGTGTGTTTGTGGTGTAACTATAAAATAGACTTACCCCTTTGTATTTTGGGCACCAATTCCATCTGCAAGATTTTTCTTCTTAGTTTTTTTTTTTTTTCTCTTTCTCTCTAGATTTCTTTCTCTCTCTAAGGGCTCCAAGACCCAATTTTTATTGTAATAATTCTTCGTCAAGATTGCAACTTTTCGGCTTATTTCTTCTCGTAGATGCACTAGAGACATGGAGATTTAGTTTAAGGTTCAATTAGAGACTTAGTTTAAGGTCCAAGATCTCGTATGTTTTGTCTTTGCTTATTGGATTTTTTTCTAGGGTAAAGATAAGAACTTTTATGAGTAGATTATGCTATCATCCTCGTAAACTCGGAAATATATGATTTTGTGGTTGATTGCGAGAGCGATAATTGATTGAGTGCTTGATTAGTTGATTCGCGAGTGGTGATTGCTTGATTGTATGTTTTTTAACCTATGAGTGCCTTCTTTCTACCTCGAGTCTTGTTTCTTTTTCTCTCTATATATTTTCCTTTTTATTGTCATTTGAGGACTTGTTTGTTTTAAAGTTTGAATCTTTCTCCCGATTTCGTTTAAAGTTGTGCTCTTTAGCGTAATCCAAACCCCAAATCGTGAGTGGAGTGTTTAGGACTTTTTATTTTCTTTTCGTGCGTGAGTCAATCGTTGCTTGAGTTCGTGTTCGAACAACCTTCCTTCAGAGACACGACCCGAGTGAGATCATTCGATTGTACTCGGCTAAAAATTACAAAAACAGTTGGGACCCAAATTCTCTTGAGGTAACAACAGACATGGTGAGATTTGTGGTTGAGCAACTTGATAGGGTTTTTGTCTCTCTAGGGTGGATTACCCTATTCCCTAACTCCCACATATCCAACATTTTAAAGATCTCCTCAGATCACAGCCTGCTTTTCCACCCAACCCTGAGATCAGAACATACAAGAAAACATTCTCCTTTAACATGATATGGTTACTCAAAGAAAGAATCCAAGATGCTGTTAATGAAGCCTAGAATGTGGATCAATCAGGTACTCCAATTCACGGCTTTCAGACTAAGATAAAGGAGACTAAGCTGAATCTCCTAAAATTGAGTAGTTCCTTCTAGTCAGACAATGCAAAATAGATTGAGGTTATCAATAGACATCTAGGTGAGCTCAGATGGGAAGGTGGTATGAGAGATTGGCTCATGTGGGATAAGCTCCAAAAGGTACTCAATGTAGCCTTGCAAGTTTGAAGAGCAATACTAGCACCAGAAATCTAGAGTTGATTGACTAAAGCTTGGGGACAAGAACACCAAGTTCTTCCATGCCCAAAAAGCTCAAAGAGGAAAACTAAATCACATCTCTAGGCTGATCAGGGAGGACTTCTTACTGTTTGTGAAACCAAAGATGAAATTTTTCAATACATTGAGGAGTTTTATTATGAGCTTTTCACTTCTCAAGGACTTGCTATGGATGAAGACATCCTTGATGGGCTGCTCCCAGTCATTACTGAAGAGATGAACACTGAGTTGATGTCCTTGGTAGATGAAGAAAAAGTTACAGAAGCTCTCTTCTCAATGTCTCCTCACATAACTCTTGGGCAAGTTGGTATGACCTTTGCCTTCTTTCAAAGTTTTTATGGGCCAGGAAAGGTGATAATTAGAACTATTGTTTTTTATAATAAAAGAGAATGAATACTAGTTGATGAAAATGATGTTTTCTAGTCAATACTAATTTTGATTTAGATTAATAAATAAATTTCAGAAGAGTTACAAATAAATTCATGAAAACTTTTCAAACATTTTATGGGTTTAATGCACCAAACCCCCTTGTATTATACGAAATCTGCGCGTTTCCCCCCTGTATTTTAAAAATTGCGTCAGACCCCCTTCTATTAAGGTTTTGTATGCGCGAAACACCCAAAATCGCCTTAATAGAAGGGGGTCTGATGCAATTTTGGGTGTTTCGCGCATACAAAACCTTAATAGAANAAATAATATTTCAAATAAATAATTAAATTTGATTTGATTTAAAAGTATGAGAAAAATGATGATGTAAAGTGATAAACAATTAAGAGAGATAATGTAAAATAAATAATTAATTAAAATTATGTGAGTGAATAAATAGTAAATTAAAGTTTATATATAATCATAATTAATTGATATTATTTAATTATATTAATAATATAAAAAATAACCAATTGAATTAAATTTAAATATAAATTAAGCATTGATTGAATCTATCATTATATAAAAAGAATAATCTTTTTCCAAATTTAGAAACTTTTTCCCGCCAAAATCATTAAATATATCCTACATATAGTAATTGTTGGACAAATCTGAATAGACAAAAAAATCGACTCATTAATTGTGTAAAGATTCGTTTCTCATGTTTTTTAGTTTTTCAAAATCGTTGTTTGACAATAAATATTTATTTTTCTTTTTTCTATTTTTAGTATAAATCTACACGAGTTTATCTCTTCTGTTACAAAATCCCATTACATACATCTCACGTGTTTAAAAAATCTCATCTCTTACCTATACAGATTTGAAAAAATAAAATAAAATAGAAACCAATTCATAATTACTACTAGAAATCCATTATCTTTAAAAAGAAAAAATAAAATAAAATAGAAACCAATTCATAATTACTACTAGAAATCCATTATCTACTTTAAGAAGCTAATTTCCATCGGTCTAATTACTAATATTTTTATAAATATTATAAGCTAACCATACAAAAAAGTATAATAATAATTTTGAGATAGTTTATAATCAAATTTTTTCATATTATCTTATACAAAATAATTGTACATTGTTTGACCCCGAATCTTTAATTTATAATTAATAAGTATTATTTATCATCCTTTTTAATTTATAATTATTTTTTTTCTTCCTCTTTTTAAATAGAAGCAATAGTAGTTTCCACTTCCGCCATTGAGTGACTCAAACTCGGAGTCTATTTATAATATTATTAATTTAATATTATTCTAGTGCATCACACTACTACACACTAGTTTATCTACAAACAAACACCCTTTCACTATTTTCCCAACTCCCATCCACATACTCTGCACAGACATGGAAAGCGTAATTTATTATTATTATTATTTAACCACATAAAAACATTTCTTTTCCACATTCTTAATACGAAAAAAAAAAATAACAACAGAGAGAAATATACAATCACAAAACACCACATTAATGATTAAATCCTCCATAAACCCTTTTATCTGCTTCTGCATATTTACATACAGTACACCCGCCACCAGCTGATCCCGCCACCAGCTGATCCCGCCACCAGCTGATCCCTCTATAAGCTTTTGCAGGGGTAAAGTCAAACAAGCGTTGAACATTTAGACGTCAGTGGATCCCACATAGCAGGCAGCAAAAACTTCCTCCCCTTCACCCCGTTCGCGTTGTAGCTCGAACCCGTAACCTTATCCGTCAGCAGATTACCCGCATAGCCCGGGTACGCGCCCGACCCGAACACTCCGGTGCAGGCGCTGACGGCCTCCAACGGCGCCTTCGCCGAGCCCTGAAAGTACCCGCTGTTGAACGGGTTTGTCACCGTTCCGGCCAAAACCGTCGCCAGGTTGATCACCATCCCGTCGACGCCGAAGTCGCCGTTCGGCGCCACCAGCGGCGGCGTTTGTGGGCCGTACAACGGCTGGTGGAACGGCCACGCGCACTGCCCAGGGCACTGAGTCTCGGGGTTCCCGACCCAAGCGTAAGCGAACCGACCCGGGCCGGAGGTGGATCTGTGGGATCCGCACCGGCTCATACAGAATCCCTCGACGGCGACGTCATTCGCCGTTAGGACGACGTTAATTGCGCCGCGGCCGCCCTTGGACGCCAGATAGGCGATTTGGGGATTTTTTAGGGATTTGCCGAGGGAGTAGGTCTCGTCGAGAATCTGAGTCCCAAGGAGGAGGGTGGAGGCGCCGCCGCCGCCCTTGTACTTTGCCGTCGTACTCCACCAGGCGGCGGCGGAAGGCGACGGCAGGGGTGTGGGGGGGCTGAGGGACTGGAGGAAATCGACGATGACGGCGCGCTGGGGAGGACTGAATCTGCCGTACCAGATGAGATTAACAGTGACGGTGCCTTTTAGGAGGACCCCGTTGTGGTACTTGAGAACGAGGGGCTGCTGCTTAACCAGAGCCGCCATGGAAGGTGAGGTGGAGATGAGAAGGAGGAGGGGGAGGATGAAGAACAGGGGAGAGCCAGGGGCAAAACGGTAATTACAGGCCATATTTTTTGGGATGGAATAGGAAAATGCTATAGGACATGAGCTGGGAGCTCGCAGTGTGTTGGGCACAATATTTATATAGGGGAGAGAAAGAGGGCGACAGCTGTTAGAGATGGAGTGTCAGCATCAGCTGATGACACGTGTATATTTGCAAGTGGTAGTACTAATTAGTTCTCTCAGGTTGCTGATCTTATCTAAATTTCAACACTTTAATCATGCTAAAGTGAAATAATAGAATACAAAATTATATATCCAGAACAATAATCAGAATCAGGGTCGGCAAGACCGTAAGAGTGTGCGATATCCTCAACCGAGCCGATCAAAATCGAATTTTTTGTTTGGAGGCTAAAATTAAATATTTTATTCAATTTTTTATTTTGGTATGATAAAATTTTAATTTTCGGTTCGTGAAAACCGAATTAAAAAAATTGATGTTATCAATAAATTGCTACATGTTCAATATGTTAATCATATCCATCTAACCCAATCCTGTACATGTTAACGCCCATTTCTATTTAGTTTATTTTTCTTTGTCTAAGTTACACATTGACGATCAACTCAAAATCTTTTAACATAATTACAAGGAATATAAATCACTATATAATATTTATCATTTCTATGTAACTTTTAGGATTTTAAGTGATATTTTAAAAAATTTTAAGATTTTAGACTTTTTAAAATTTTCAAATTTTGAAGAAATTATGTGAAATACAATTCAGATTTTTAAGTCTGGATGTGAGATTTGAGGTGAAATTTCGTATAAGTTTTTTTGTTTATAAATTCCACCAAGTCTTAAAAATTCTTAACAAATCCTAATTTTTTTTGTAGGACTTTTAAAATCTCAAGTGAATACCCCAAGACTTTTAAAAGTCTTAGAAAGTCTTAACGAATCTAACTTGAATATATCATGATGTCTAAAGTCTTAAAAAAATCCTTAGAAATCCCAATTTAATACACCCTCTTTAAAAATGAGGACTTTATTTTGTTGGGGTAAAACAACAAGCACAGCGAAAAAAATACCGCTACAACAAATATGGCAAGCACAACTACTAACAAAATAAGTCAAGACAAATAAAATACGAGAAAGAAAAAAAAATACAAAAATTAATAACGGAGTTCAGCAAATATTGTCTACGTCTCTAGGCACAGCCAACCGCAACGCCAAATTTACTAAACTCACCAACAAAATACAACTAGGGTTAAATAGCCCACAAATTAAGATTTCCTTAATTAAGGATTTTCTTCTAATATAGGAGAGAATAGAATAAGGTGCAATTGTAACCGAAAGGCAAGACACCTATTTATACTAAAAAGATCATACACATCTTTGTTACACATTCGATGTGGGTCAACAAATAAGTCAAAACCTAACAATTCTCCACCTTGACTAATTTTGCTCCCACTCCCAACTCAACTGCTGGCGGTGCCTCTAAATGCACCTCTCGGCGCCAACTCAAATATGCAGAATGTTGGTCAAGTCTAAACAATGTTCAAACTTGACTGCTGTTACTACATTGGTCATCATATCTGTAGGATTCTCCATCGCCTTGATATTTTTCAACACAACGGTTCCATCTTCTAGAATCTCCCGATAGCGAACATCAATATGTTTCGTTCTTGATTGAAATACTTGATTTTTCGCTAAGTGAATAGCGTTCTGACTGTCACAATGTACTAAGACGTGCTTTTAACCAACTCTCAATTTTTCAAGCAAACTTTGAAGTCAAATAGCCTCCTTCACAGCTTCAGTAATTGTCATATACTCTGTCTCTGTTGTAGACAAAGCAACTGTTGACTATAAAGTAGACTTGCAACTAACTGAAGTGTTTGCAAGAGTGAAAAAATATCCAGTCGTTGATCTTCGCTTATCCAAATCACCCGCGTAGTCAGAATCACAATATCCAACTACACACTGACCAAATTCATCCTGCTCATAAACTAATCCAACATCTAAAGTATTATGAATATACCGCAGAATTCATTTCACAGCTTGTCAATGACCTTTTCTAGGGTCATGCATATACCTGCTAATAACACTAACTGCTTGTGAAATGTCGGGCCTTGTACACACCATCGCATACATCAAACTACTAACTACATTCCCATATGGGACTCTAGTCGTGTACTCTCGTTCTTCATCACAATTTGGCGATAATTGGGCACTTAACTTAATATGAGGGGAAAGTGGTATACTTACAGGCTTCATCTCATCTTTTATGCTGAAAAAACTTCAGTACCTTATTCAGATATTGCTTCTGAGTCAAACAAAACTTGCCTCTCATTCTGTCCCGTCTTATCTCCATCCCGAGTATATTATTAGCTTTCCCCAAGTCTTTCAATCTCCACTTGGCTCTTTGATGCAACCAACATGTCATCCACATACAAAGGTAAGTAAATGAAAGATCCATCTTGCAGCTTGCGTAGATACACACAATGATCATGTCTGCATAGTACCTGAAAATAGTATGACCGTTTTGATGCCCATAACAACAATAGCCATTGAGCTGTTACTAGCCTCTTAAGTGGAAATTGACTCATGGCTTCCTCTGCCTGAGTTAGAACTCTATAAATAGGAGTTCTTAGGCTGCAGCAAAAAAACTAAACATACATCTGCGTTTGTACTCCTTACTGTTAGCCTCACGCATCATACATACAATGCTCAGTTCTCAGCTCGACTATATTTTGTCGGAGCTCAGAAGTCTGGAGAGCTACAGCCTTCTACACATTTGTCGTTGTATATTTCGAGACAAGACACACAGACCCATCAGCATTATATAGGATGTATTTGACTTGCGGAAAGAGATCATCTCGCCTCAGCTTTAGTCTTTTCGCTTAACATTGTTATATGTTTTTCGTTTTTAATTCATAATTTAAGAATAGAACACTTCAATTCGTAGGATTTAAGTGTATTCAACACTCAATTTGTAACACATAGAACATTAAATGCACATTGACCTTGTAACTTGCTCTTAAAGCACCTTGATTAATGCAACAGGAGCTCTTATGTACCTTGCTTATTGCACCAACCAGATAAAGCTTTCACTATTAGTTTGTTAGCAAGATATAAGTTGTTCCCAATGAGAAGGCAACTGAATGAGAGTAAGAATATATTCCATTATCACTGGGGAACATTTGATTTGGAATTACTTTATTCAAATAATGAAAACCTAATATAGTAGATATTATAGATGCAATATACTTATCAGACCTGCACAAGGCTAAATCTCAAATCGGCTAGCATGTTTGTTTATGGAATTTTTCAAAAAAAATTCAACATTTTAACTCAACCACTTTTTTTAACTCAACTTTAATTCAACCCCACTATCATTAAAATTATCAATATAATTAAGTAATATCAATCAACCATTCATACACACCACATCAACCTTAATTCACTATTCATATACTCACATTATTTTAACTAACCATCACTTCAAATCGCTCTCTCTCTCTCCTACTTTTACATCAAATCAATATTAATTATTTTATTTAAAATATTATTTTAATATACTCATTAACAACTAACCATACCACCTTTTTCAAAATTAACCAAACCAAATCAAAAAATCCAAACAAAACCAAAAAATTTTATAAACAAACATGCTTATATATGTGTTCACGATCGGTGAAACTGCAATTTTCATGCGCACTAAAAACAACATTAGTTGTCACATCTTCAAATCATTTTGAAGTCATTGCAATTCGCAAGTTGGTAGTGTATCATTCTAAAAAAATATGACTGGAAATATATAGTGATTTGATCATCATTTAACAAAGATCTACAAGTATTATTTGAAGACACATGGGACTGATCATCATTTAACAAAGATCTACAAGTGTTATTTGAAGACAATTTCCCGTGTGTTGCCTAAACTAAATAAGGTTGAGTTAATAGCACCACAACCAAGCATATCCCCCGAAATTTTTCTCATACAATCAAGAGCTCAAAAAGAAAAACAAAATCTCAACATATTCAACAAACTGAAAATGTTGTAAACATATTTACAAAGGTTTTTTGATGTACAACTTTGAGAAAGCATGCTCAGTACATTGGAATGAGACATCTACAAGATTCACGAAGGTATTAACTTGAGGGGGAAACGTGTGCCACTGTATACATTTCCCCTTATCAAGCTAGTTTGACGAACAACATATTGATATGTCGGTGAATTCAAGAGGTAGTATCAGTGACGGAGCTAGTTGAGGTCCAGGGGGCCCTCTCATTTTTTTTAAAGTCAATATATATATATATATATATATATATATAAAGAAATATCTATATAAATAAATAAAGAAAATACTATAAAATATATATAAAAACTGAAAAAATTATTGAAAATATATTAATAAGTAAAACTTATTTTTTATGTTATCTTAATTTAAATGAATAATATTATTCATTTATTGAAAAATGTACTAACAATCCTTATATTTTACATTTCTAGATAAGTTTTTGAAAATATTTATAATGATTTACTCTTTTGTTATCTTAATTGTAAATTGATTTAGTGATTTATAAAATTGATAATTTAGTTGGATTGTTACATTTTTTTAATGTTTATTTTTTACTTTTTTTATTGTGCATTCACATATTTTTAACTTTATTTTTTTTTTCTTAAAAATTTTCATTTGATAAGTGCTCATCAACAAAAATGTTATGCAATGTGCTTCAAAAGTTTAATTCAAATCCTTTTTTTCAACGAAAAACTTATTTTTTCCATAAACTATAGATATTGAAATTAAATTATAAATACATGAAATCTCATTTTTTTAAAGTTTGAGGTGATACGAATTCTATGTTTTTAAATCTTGGTGGTACACATATCAATATTTATATTTATAGTAGACATATTTTTATATGAAATGAGTGTCGACTTAAACTTCAAGCTCGTTATTTAACATTTAAAATTGGGTCCCCCTGAGTAAAATTCCTAGATCCGTCACTAGGAATGAACATAGCATGTTGGTTAAAAATTAGAAGTTTATCTTTCATCTTCCCTTAA